GAACATTTCATGCCCAGGGGAAGCCCTGGATTCAACTCAAAGGCAAGAAGGATGTTCTTAAAGGAAAACAAAAATCATGCTCCTTCAAGGAGCTTACTGGAAAAGTCAGGGAAGGAAAACCCAACTAAAATAGTGTGGAGACTGCTGTCATAGAGGTAAGCACAAGTCCTTTTAGGAGCACAAGCAAGGACATTCATTCATTGAACATTCACTAATTTTCCACTCTGTATCAGGCTTTGATCTAGGTCTTGGAAATAGAGTAATGGATGAGGCAGAAGGAGAAAAAAAATCACTGTCTTCATGGGGCTTACATTCTAGTGAGCGAGATGGAGAATTTGCAAGTAAACAAATCATACGATTTCCAATGGCGATAATAATAAAGGAGAGAAGGGATACTGTCACGTGGTTGGACACTGATTTGGAGAGGGTGATCTGGGAGGAGCTCTTGGAAAAGTGGACATTTGAACTGAGATGTGGAGGATCAGAAGGAGTAAGTCATGCCCGGGAAAAATAAGTCTAGGCAGAGAAGCAAGTGGGCAGCAAGTGCCAAGGGCCAGGGCTTGGAGCACTGGGGGAACAGCAAGAGCCTGCGAGCCTGAGGATGGGGAAACCAGGCGGGAGTGCAGGAGACAAGGACTGAGAAGAGGCAGCTCTCCTAGGGCCTGGCGACTGTGGTAAGGAGATTGGATTCTGTACGAAATGGAAGCCACTGGTGGGTTTTCAGCAAGGCTGTGACTAGGAGAATGAGGGAAGTCTTCCTGAGGGTGGAGGGCTGATTCTTGAACATGGTCTTGAAGGAGTAGGCATTAGACTAGGCATCAGTCATGCAGTAGAAGTGGCTATAGGAAGGGAGAAGAGCGTGCTGTGTTCTGAGCTACCATAAACCACTCTCTACACTGAGCTAGTGGATTCAGCTTAAATCAGTGGAGGGGGAATGGCCTACTCAGGAAATAGTGTCAGCAAAATTGGCTATTCCTTTGGAGGGGAAATAAAAATTTCTATCTTGCATCATTCTTTAAAATAAGTCTCAGGTGGATTAAAAACTTTAAAATGATGAAACTTTTGGGAGAAATATAGGGGAATACATTTATGATCTTTATGAATGTAGGGATCAAGAAGGACTTATTAAACAAGAAATAAATAGGAAAAGAATAAATTTGAGTACATTAAAGTTAAGAAGACAGAAATCAAAACACCATAAACCAAGTTAAGTATATGAAATAAACTGGGAGGAAATGTTTACAACACAAATAACAGCCAAAAAATTAGTATAAACAATAAGTAAATAACTCCTATAAATAAAAAACAGAAAGCATAAACAATCCAGGGTAGAAATTGGCAGACGATACAAAGAGGAAATTTACCAAAAGGGGAAATACAAGTGGCCAATAAACATAAAAAAACGGATAAAACTGATTAACAGTTAGAAAAATGCAAATTAGTATAACTAGATACCATTGCCACTTATCAGATTGTCAAACCTTGTTAAGTTTGATAATATTAAAATTTGGAGTATGGAAATACGTGGTCTCATACACTGCTGGTGAGTGCATCGTTTTTAGTCCTTTTGGTGAACTCTTTAGCATGTATATTAAAATAAAATACAATTGTAATTCTTAGGTATCATCCCTGGGAAACTTTTGCCCATGTGCACAAGGATGTTCATTGCAGCATTGCTTTTTATGGTGAAATGACAATCACCTACCGACCATCAACAGGGAAAGGGCTGCATACACTGTGTTCCACCTACAGTATAAAATATTAGACTGTGGTTGAAATGACGAAGGTGGTTTTACATGCATTAACACTGAAAGAGGAATGTAGAGGAGAATAGGTTTGGGGAAAGGAAAGAAAGATTTTAGACTTAGTTAGAAGGTTGCAATTTTTTTATGAGATGAATGCATTGAGGATATCATTCCCCATTCTCCATTCGGCCAATTATATAGTTGGATATTTTATGCAGGGACATTTAAATTCTCTGGGAGAGTTGTTTATACCCCCATCCCCACAAAGGCACAACCTCCCCCAATATCCACACCCACCAGAGTTGTGCATTTGTTGCAACTGATGAACCTAAAATGACACGTCATCATCATACACAGTCCATAGTTTACATCAGGGTTCACTCTTGGTGTTGTACATTCTATGGGTTTTGACAAATGTATAGTGACACGTATTCGCCATTGTAGTATCATACAGAATAGTTTCACTACCCTAAAAATCCTCTTCAAAATACATGTATTTTTTTTTAAAAAAAAGTCTCAAAGGGTTCCTGGCCCCTTGAAACGCAGTCATGGCCTCAGATTAAGAGTCTGGACTCCAGGAGGATAAGGATCCCCCACACAGCCACTTTGGAGTAACATTACTGTGTCCCGACCTCTTAACCCTGGACCACAACCAGCATTTGCTCCTTAAGCTACAGTCTGGTGTGGACTTGGCATCTATGTTGAGCATTTCCGTAGCTCTCTAGGAAATGGTAGCAGGTAGTTCTCTGCTCCATCTGGGCAATCGGAGCCCCAGAACAGTGGGCTTTTCTCTGATCAGCAAGATCCCTCAGCAGGACTATTTTCTCCATGGACAAGTAATTTATTTACCATGTCTTCCAGATGACCATGTTAAATACATTTGCCAGGATTGGAAACTGCAAAGCTATGCTGTTTCTTTTTTGCTTTGAACTGGTGACATTAAAAGTATAAAGGATTCAAGTTATCCCAGGATCATTGGGACCAGGAATGAACCTTCTAAATCTCTTTCAAATGGGAACCAAAAATCTCAAAGTTCTATTAGGATTTTATCTTTTAAAAAGATTAATAAAAATTTATTTTCTATTCATACATATTAATTTTAGTCACCAGAGCTCTGTTATAATTCTTAGATCTAACAAAGTGCTGGCCAGGGATGATGCTCTCTTGTCCTGGGCAAGTATATTTTCCTGGGCAATATTTGATTTTCTGGGCAATATTTCACTTCGCAATCAAGTTATGTTATAATAGGGCTGTACTGACACAAATTTATAAAGAGGAGAGAAAGTAAGGATAGCAGACATTCCTCTATCTCCAAAATTGGGAAGGGGCAAACTGAGGGGGGGAAAAATCACTCACTGTGGGTGGGCAAAGGGGTTAGGGGATGGCAAAGAGAAGCAGGAGGTGGGAGAGAAAAGAGGAAGGTGGATATTTTAATATAACGATGACTTTTGCCTCCCATGCAGCTTAGTGACTAAGGTCACTCATATAGTGTTGCCTTGTAACTACTTTTCCACTGATAGAAAATATAGGAGCAATAAAAAAATACCCGGGGAGAAGAAAATTGTTCATATTTCTTTTAGCCCCTTTATGATCTATGTTGCCAAAATTTAAGAGAAAAATGAGTCTGTGAGCAAAATAAAGAGAAAACACTCCCTATCAAGAAAAGAACAGATATCTTCATTCCTTCCTTTGTCTACCCACCCACTGACATGAGCCTTTTGCATTCTTATGGCAATTATAACCCATAGCCTCCAGGAACAGCAGGTGCTCTGAGCTCCTCTCAGACGCCCCTAGTCACAACGCCTGGTGGGTTTGCGCAGCCTTTAATTAAGATGCTGATAATTGAAGTCTCCAATCAGCTCTCCTAGGCTGACCTCTGGTTGAAAGCAAATAGTGCTGAAAACTTTCCACTTTCCCTGCTCATGGTGCAGTCATTAGAAAATACTCTACAAGATCTTACGAATCTTCACAATTGTACTGGGGCTTAACAAATCTCCCCTGTCCAGCTGAAATGTTTGCAGGCTGGTTCACCTGCTCTCCCACCGTTCCAGATTTCAGGTTTTCCCAGCCTCCAACGATATCGAGGCTAGCAAGGAAGGCAGAAAGACCTGCCCTCATGTTTAGGTCCTGCTCCTTCCTAACTGTGTGACCATACACAGGTTATTTATCCTCCTTGAGACTCAGCTTCCTCATCTGAAAAATTGGTATAAGAAAAACTTCCAGGCAGGGTCGCTGTGAGAAGGAAACGGGCAATTTAGGTAAAGCCTGTGACATGTTAGTAGACATTCAATCAGCTCTGTCACACACACTCACATGCACACACACATTTCTTTTCCTCCCCAAGTTCTCAGGGCCTCACAACTATTGGGTGTTCCATTACAATATGGAGTACAGCATAGGGAATAGATTCAATGGAATTGTAATAGGTATATATGATGTCAGAGGGGCAATAGATTGGGGGAGGAGGGTTATCACTTTGTGAGCGATGAAATGTATAACTAGTACATTGTTTTATACACCTGAAACTAATAAAAGAAGAAGAAGAAGAAGAAGAAGAAGAAGAAGAAGAAGAAGAAGAAGAAGAAGAAGAAGAAGAAGAAGAAGAAGAAGAAGAAGAAGAAGAAGAANAGAAGAAGAAGAAGAAGAAGAAGAAGAAGAAGAAGAAGAAGAAGAAGAAGAAGAAGAAGAAGAAGAAGAAGAAGAAGAAGAAGAAGAAGAAGAGAAAAGAAAACCAATCTGGCCTGATTTGAGAGATGTGGAGATAAAAGGAAGGACAAAGATTACATTACTTTCCCTCTCCACCTGGGGGGAGGGGGCAGAGGTGTGGGCTGGAAAACAATGCTACAAGTCCCAAGGAAGGGTCTCAGGACAAGAGAGTGTCATTGCAAGCCAATATTTTATCAGCTAACTCAGAATTGCATCAGCCATGTTGCAACATTCTCAGCAAAACAGAAGAGTCCACGGTGCAAATGGCACAGGTCCAAAATTAGGGGGGGAGGCGACTCAGCGATGAAGGTGTGTATCATTTTATTAAATCACAGCTGGAAACACAGTGATGGCTCCCCAAAACCTTTCTCTACCCGTCTTGTCAGTAATGCTGAGGGGGCTCGTAGGTAACAGCGGCAACACCAGATTTCTTAAAAGCTAGGTGAGCTTCCCAGAGCAAGAATCCAAAGTGAGTCAAGCACATGGCTCCCAACCTCTGCCCCTCACTCCTAAATAAAAACCCAACTGAGAGAAATGACCCAGGCTTACCTCCTAGGTGGTAATCCGCTATGGCAACAAGCAGACAAGGTGACTCCTTAGCTGTCGATTCAGACCTTGGACAATTTGAATAAAGTCCTTCCTAACATTTTCTGTCTTTTGAAAATATTTCCATCTGCTATTAATATGAGAAACGGAAAGCAACAGAAGAGTTTACAACGGAAGTCAAAAGAGAAAGCTTTTTAAACCTACTCTCCTCCCAGGAAAAACTTTCAATTAAGTATAGTTTCAACATTGTCCTAGTCCTAGTTTCCAAGTCATCTGACAAGGAACTCACACCAGGATTTCATAAATGACCAAAATATAGCACATTATACAGGTCAGCTTGTCTATGGAATCAGAACAGAGACATTTCCAACAGGTACTGTCTCCAGTGATTTTCCTGGGTGACCACGATGTTAAAAAGATATTCCTAAATAATGTTTCAATAAGGTAAGCAACTTATTTTTCAATAAGGTAAGTCAGACCCAGTAACTTTTGCTTCTTTTCATTTGCTTTTGTTTTTTTGTTCGTTTGTTTGTTTGTTTAATTTTCAGGATTTCATCTCCAATGCCACTCACTTGGAATGTATTCTTCCACCAAACTTCATGATGGTAAAGAAACTTTAAAAGCCACCTTCCCCTCTGTTGCCTTCAGCTAGACAGACACCCCACTCCCAGAGGAATTAGGCACTCACTCAGATTGTCTCAGGTCGGAGATGAACTTTCAAGGCCCTGGGAGGTTTCTGAGTCCAGTCTTCCTCTCCAAATCCCAGCAATTTTTCTACAAATGCTCAGAATCCGGGTTTGTTTTGGGGTGAATCCAGGAAGAGGAGGAGAGAATTCTAGCCAAAGCTGTGGATGATCACAGGCGGCCTTCCGGCCCGTCAGCAGCATCTCTTCCTTGGCTCCGTGCCCATGGACACACAGATTAGTCATTAACGATCCTTTCCCTGCTAAATGATATAAACATGGAAAGGAACCTTGGGAGCATCTCGAGGTTCCCAGGACGCACTCCCAGAGCCCCACAGGAGGGAATGTGACAAAGCCACTTCTCCTCAGGCTGCTTTCTGGGGGTTTTGCGTTACCCAGATTTCTGTGCGCATCATCTAAAAGTGAACTGTCACCTCCCTTCTCTCTCCCCAATTTCTTTTCATGGTTCCACCACCTCTCAGGACCTGAAGGTAGGAACTCTGAGCCTTCTAGACTCTTCCCTCTCCCAGGCCTCCTATATCAAGTAATAACAGGTTCGTGTGGGTTCTTTGTTTGGAACATCTCTTACTTCCAACCCACCCTGTTTTTCTGCTACTTTGGGTCTACTACAGCTCCTTTCTGAAGAAAAACACTGGCCCTATAACTCTCCTCTCCTTTCTTTTTTTCTCTTTTCCATATTGCATAGCAGTGTACAGTGTGGGCTCTCGTCAGATGCCTACTCATTTGGCACGATCTTCAGCAAGACACTTAGCCCCTCTGAGTCTCACTTTCCTTATCTGGAATATGGAGTCTGAATCGCCATGTCATGGGCTGCAGGGAGAATTCCATGTGTAGTGAAAAATGTGTAAAATGTCTAGAAGAGTGCCTGGCATACAGCAAGCACCCAACACATTTCAGCCATTAGTATTTTCCTGTATCTATTGAACAAATATTGATTGGTTGTCTGCACGCGATGTACCCAGTCCCTTGCTAGATGGTCTCCTAATAAAAAAAATCCCCAAAGGGTTCCCATTGCCAAAAAAAATAAATGTAACATACTATGTAGGGCCTGACATTTAGAACTCCTCCCACGCCCTGACAATCTATCCCTAATCTATCATTCTAGCATTTTCTCACGTCCTGTCTCTTCAGAGGCCTGAACCTCTGGCCCACCTGTGCTGAGCCTTTGCACGAGCTCTTCCTTTCACCTGAGTTACCTGCCTCCCATAGCCACACGGCTTCCAGGCCCATCACAAATGCTGAGTTCTCCCTGAGGTGAGCCCTATTCCTCCTCTGCCCCTCGTCTCCCCAGCGAACATCCCTCGTCCTTTATTTCTCTCCTTGCCCCTTAATTCCTCTGACCTTGTATATTATAGTTACAAGAACAAAGCTTCTAGAGGACAAACATGGGAGCAGACTTCCCTTTGTTTCCATCCCTGGGCTTATCATAGTTCCTCCCATGGGAACGGTATTGCATAACTATTTGTTACCTGAATCAATGAGTGAGCTGAGACAAGAACAATTTTCCACAGTAAAATGTCTGTATACACACATGGGTGTGTGTGTGTGTGTGTGTGTGTGTGTGTGTGTGTGTGTGCATGCACAATGCTCCCCATTGCAAAGTATGTTAGTGGAAAGCCACACTCAAATATGTTAGGAATGCTGTATTTTATTTCTCGTGTAAAATAGCACATGTAGGTCCTACACACTCACACTTCCTACCCCTGTGGGTGCCCGATATACTGGCACACCCCCTTACACTCGCTTTTTCACAAGGAAGACAGGGCACCCAGCCCTGTAAATTCTCCCTCGTCCATTTGAAGAGTCTTTGCGCTGACACTCACGGAGCTCTGCAGCCCTGGGCAGCTGAGGACTCCTGCATGACTCCTAGCACAGTTCTCCTGCAATGCAAGAGCCTATGCTGTGATTTCATTCTCTCCAGCAGCAGTGGGGGGTGATGGTGAAGGACAGGGGCTCTGCAGCCTCTCGCCTGGGTTCAGGTCCCAGCTCTGCCATTTCCAAGCTGTGGGACTCTAGGCTTTTGGTTAACATCTCTGTCTCAGTTTCTTCATCTGAAAAATGGAGATGTAATTACCACCCATTTCTTGGTGCTATTGTAAGGATTAAATGAATTAATATATGCAAAGTGTTGTACAGATTGAGTGTTTGATACACTGAAATGCTCTATCAGCACTAGCTGCTATTTTTTTCTTCTGGGCATTTCACCCTATCAATATTTGCCCAACTGGACTAAGATCCCAAGGTTCTCTGGTGTGTTGGGAATGCAAGGTAATGAGGAGGAGAAAAGGGAGCATTTCAGGGTAAGGAAGAGGCAGCAGCAAAGGCTGTGAGGCAGGAAGTAGCTTGGAGAATCCTATGAAGTAAAGAGAAGGCCAGTGCTTTTCATCTAAGCATGTGGAGGAGGCACAGAGAAATCGGGGTATGATAGGTGGGGGCAGTGGTGTGCTGGCAAATGCATAACAACTAGCTATCAGAGAGGGGGTATACACACACACACACACACAGGTTTATGTTAAATTTTTTGAGATAACAGATGTATAACTCATGTTTTACAAATAATACAGTATACAATTTTTGTGGATTTCTGTGCCAATTGATTGTCACAGAATTCTTTCATTGAGGTTTGTTGAACTCTTGTATTAACCAACTTATGGTGTCAGTTCAACCTTGATATGACAAATAGAATTGCATTCCAGTCCACTAATTCTTTTCCCAATATATTTATTATCATGGAATCATAGAGGCAATCTATTGTTAAACTGTTACTTGAGTACAAATTATATTCATTAAACGAAACCCTCTTTCAGCTCCAACACTACATATGTTGGAAATTCATTTGTCCATTAGTGACACGAGCAGCTTCTTTGCTGAATCAAATAATGTGTGTGAATACAGGAAGAGCATTTCTTCAAGTGTTTTTCTGGTGGCCTTCACAATGTAACAGCTACTAACATAACACATTTTTAAGTTCAACCTGCATTATTAACATGCTCCCCATTGCATGGACCAGAGGTCAGCAAACTTTTTCTCTAAAGGGTCAAAAAGTATTTTAGGCTTTGAAGGCCACAGTGGTGTCTGTCATATTTTATGGCCTTTAAAAAATCTAAAACCTCTTCTTAGCCTGCAGGCTATGCAAAAACATCCATGGCCGGTCCTTGTTTTCAACCCTTAGGCCATGGAGAGAAGGGGGCAATTTTGCCCCCAAGGGATGTTTGGTAATATCTGGAAACAGTTGTGGTTGTTACAACTTGGAGGGAACGCTACTGGCATCTAGTAGATAGAGAGGCCAGAGATGCTGCCAAACATCCTACAATGCACAGCACACCCCTCCACAACAAAGAATTATCCAGCCCAAAATGTGAATAGTACTGAGGTTGAGAAAGCCCGCCTTAGACGATCGACAAAGCAATAACTCGAACCCTGATTTATAGATATGGGTTATTTCTGTGGTGTAAACATTCTCGTGGACAAATTCAAACTATCAACATGATGCCACTGAACAAGAAGTTGGAAGAGTTGTACGGGAGCACACCATGACTTAGCATTTCCACCAAACAGAAGCCACGTGAGCATAGGTAATGGTTAAACATAGTAAAATAATTAGAATGTGATGCGTTTTATGTATTTATTACCTTTGTTTTTAAAATGTATTTAATTGTAAGCTTATATAATTATTTTTTAATAGTGGCTAAGGTTAACAACCAGCTCAGAAGTTTAACAACTGGCTCTCGTGACTCAGCGCACGGTCGTCTCAGCACACCACTGGGGGGACGAGAGCATCTTACATGTCGTCTTTATAAGTTAGGAGCCAGGAAGCACTATCTCCACTTTATAAATGAGAAAACTAAGACTTGAGATTCAGTGTCTCATCACAGCAACACAGCTGGACTTTGAACTTCGGTTCGTTTTCTCCAAAGCTGATATACTTTTACTTTATCCCACTATCGACTCAGGCAAAGTAAGGTCTAAATATTTATTCTATGAAGTGCCTATCTGTCCTGCAATGTTGTAAGTAATTGCTGAATAGTATAGAGATGAAGGAAGAAGCCATTAACATATTGTTAGCGATCAACTCTGGAGTAGCATTAGGTATGGAGCAGAAAAGCCATTCTGCCGAAAAATGATCTCTGTCCATAGAAATTACTATTTTTTGATTAATGCTTTGGCATCTTTATCTTCACCAGCCCTAAAGCAGGAGTTCATCACAGATCAGAAACTATCAAAGATCCTGAAGCAAATGGGAAGTAAAACAGGTAAACTTTGAATGTTGGTGTAGCAAGGGTACAGCCTAGCCTAGGGTAGGGACACGGGGCGCTCAGCTGCAATGGGTGATGACCACAAGGGGGAAACTGAAATGCACAAAGGGAGGAAAGGGGAGAAAGCACGGATAATCAAGCTGGCCTCTCTCCCCATGGGCTCGAGCTTGACTGTGAAGGTGAACCTCTGTCCCAGCATTGAATCAGCCTATCAGAAGGGTGTCTGCAGTGGCCCTTATACTACACGTTTAAATAACTTCCTTTCTCTGGTTAGGCACCGCAACTCTCAAGAAGTTCTACTCTCAGAGCCAGAAAAAATGTCCAAGACCTAGGGCCACGTGGTTGGTGCCCTACCATGATGGTGCTGAAAGCATAGTATTCAAGTCAAGGGCCTGGGTTCGAGTGTTGACTCTGATCCTGCCATATGATCTTGAGCAAGTCAGTGTTAGGTTTTCCCCCTTGAAAATAATATAATCATGGGGAAAGAATGCTTATCTCAAAGGGTTATTATGAAAATCAATGTGAAATATCACATGAAAATGCCTGGTTAAAAAAAGGGAAAGGAAAAGGAAGCAACCGGCGGACCCCATCAGATGTGAAGTCTTTCAGAATCTAGAAGCCATAAGGGGGCCTGACCCACCTCTCTGCAATCAGCTGGTTTGTTTGTTTTTTCTGTTTACTTTGCTCATTTATTCAGTTCTTTAGATTCCACATATAAGTGCGATCATACAGTATTTGTCTTTCTCTGACTGACTTATTTCACTTAGCATAATGTTTTCTAGGTCCATCCATATTGTTGCAAATAGTAAGATTTCATTCTTCTTTATAGCTGAGTAATA